TTTCTTATTCTTATTGTTTTTTTCTTTCTTTCTCGTTGTTCTTTTTTTTTCCTTCTTCCTCTGTTAATCTTGCTCACGCCTATTTTTTTTTCTCTCTTACCCTTAAAATTTTCTTTCTCACGCAAGCCATCATCATTTCGTAATACGGTAGAGAAAAAAATGCGACCATGGAGGAAGAGGAATAAATAGACATGGTGTAAAATGGTCGACAAGAGCCATGTCTATAAACGAGAAATTTGAGGTCGTATCCTAATTGGCGTTTATGGTACACGAGGGTGCCATACCTCATACCTTATATACGTTACCATTATAATAAGCCACTGGAAACCCTAGATTCATTAGTTGTTAGCCAACGGACATTGGCTTGGAAAATTTTCAATGAATATTTTTATAAGTTTCTATGGTATAAGACGATTGTCGATTATGCGTAAAATTGATCTTTGAATATATTCAAAGGACCGTAAGAAAAATTAATGGCCAGAATTTTTCTCTTTCTCTTCTCTTTCTTTCTTTCTTTCTTTTTTTTTTTTTTTTTTTTTTTTTGGGGAGGGGATTTTTTTCTTTCTTCCTTTGTTTGCTTTTTATCCCCTTACAAAATCTCTTAACCTTAATAAATAATTAAATGTTTTCTTCTGATATACACAGGGAATCCATCTACGTGATCATAAATAATGCATACTAACTAACATTGATATCTTTTCGCTATCTAATTCGATCATTACTTTCGTTGGTCAGTTAAATGAATCTTAGAAAACTTGAAAGAGTTTCTAACTCAATACATTTTTTATTTCTTTCAAAAGAACGAGGCGGACCTACTTGGAATGATAAAATCAACCAACCATTCATCAACATCCCCTTTACACGGATGAAACTTCGAGAATATTCGTAAACGTTTAGAATACTAATCGAAAGAAACGGAGAGAGAGAGAGAGAGAGAGGGAGAGAGAGAGAGAGAGAGAGAGAGAGAGAGAGAGAGAGAGAGAGAAAGAGAGTATCATTGTATAGTTATAACTATTAATTAACTTGTCCGAAGTTCTCACTACGGAAATTTAATTAAATTGACGAGCCGATCGAACGAAGGAAAACGATGTGATTGATGTGTTATCGGAGTTAAAAAGAGAGAAAGAGAGAGAGAGTGTGAGGGAGAGAGGGAGGGGGGGAATAGAGGGAGAAGGGATATAAGGATGAGAGTAGTGGGTATCGAGAAATTGGGAGGTAGGTGTAACAATATATATATATAATTTTATTTCTATTTATTCAATTTTTTTATTTTTAATTTTTTTTTTCTGTTTTTTTTTCCTTTTATACTTTTTTTTTGTTATCTCCGAGTTTCGATCATGGTATCTCTTTAATCTCAAATCGAAACTCGTCGTACACGTACGTAGACATATATATATATATATATATATATATATATGTATATATACACAGAGGTCGCGGCAATTTATAGAAGCAATAATAAATCAATTGTAAAACTAACGTCATAGAGTAAGAAGAGATCCTCTCTCCCTCTCTCTATCTCTCTCTCTCTCTCTCTTTCTCTCGTATACTTTTTCTATGAGTTATTTTTAAAAACATAACCGTTGACATTTTCGATAAGTCCTCTTTCTTTATTATCGGTGTGTTATCGACTTATACACTATAATAATAATTTTAATAATAGTAATAATAATAATATAAACATATGTATATACATATATATATATACATATATATATATATATATGAAAGTCTATAAATATATGAAAGTCTATAAAATCATATGTTATTTTTTCAAAATATTTTAAATAATATTATATTATTATAATATAATATATTACACTATAGTATATTAAAAAGGAATAAAGGAGAAATTACACACATATACACACACACATACATACATATATACATACATATAGGATATAGTTTTTCTTCTAAAATGTTGATTTAAATGCAACAATGTATAATACTCTTTTTGATAACATTTTTTTCTTATGGAAAAAGATCAAAGAAAAGAGAGAGAGAGAGAGAGAGAGAGAGAGAAAAAAAAAGAAAAAACATTCCGTAGTTCGTTTTCAAAAAAAATAAATAAGAAATAATGAAGGTACGATTTTTTTTTCTTTTCTTTCTTTCTTTCTTTCTTTCTTTCGAGAGAGAGAGAGAGAGAGAGAGAGAAACAAAAAGACGAAATAATAGAGATTAGTTTCGAGCTAGAATATATAGATATTGATATATTAATATTATTCTTTATTTTATTATTTATATTATTAATATTACATACACACACACACACACATACATATATATATATATATATATATATTTTTGTTTATTAATGTCGAGATCGTATAATTTTTTTTCTTTTCTTTTTTCTTTTCCCCCTCACTAGATAGAGAATTTCTATCCCATATATTTCGTTTCTTTATTTATATAAACGCACACACATATATACACACACACACACACACACACACACACACGTATACATACATGCACATACATGTATGTACATATAAGTATATAATAAATGTTAGAAAGTCAGACGTCTCCGAAGGATCGATTCGGAAGATGTAACGATCGAATTACGATCACCGGATGCGAGGAGGAGATGATCGTTCTCAAGGAGAAATACGCGGGATATAGACGACGAACGGATAGAATGATTGATAGTACGCGTTTCGTCTCTTATAATGACGTCAATGTGCATGTGTGTGTATATATATGTGTGTGTGTGTATGTGTGTATGAGAGAGAGAGAGAGAGATAAATAGATAGAGATATAGAGAGACCGCTATTTCTACGGACACTATTTCACCCTCCATTTCAAGAATAAACGCAAGGGACCGTATCAAGGGCGTTCCTTTTCTCTCTCTCTCTCTCTCTCTCTCTCTCTCTCTCTTTCTCTTTCTCATTCTTCTTGATGGACCTTCTGAACCGAAGAAGATAACACGGACACCTTTACTATCTTCTATCGTCTATGTCTTTCGAAACGTTTATTCACGCGGAAAGTCAATGAGCTAAAAAGCTATCACAGATATATATATATATATTTATTCCCTCCCACCATCGTCATCATCCCCTACCTCCCACCATCGTCATCATCCCCTCCCTCCCACCATCGTCATCATCGCCTTCCTCCCACCATCTGAATTATATCAAGAATTATATTTATCATTAGTTTTTCTTTGGTTTCTTTTTTCATTATTTTCTCCCTCTCTCTCTCTCTCTCTCTCTCTCTCTTTCTGTTTTTTCTTCTTCGAGAAATTAAAAAAATTGTCATCCCTTTTTATTTTCTTTCCTTCCTCTCTCTCTCTCTCTCTCTCTCTCTCTCTCTTTTTATCTCTTTTTCCTCTCTTTTTCTTTTTCTTTTTTTTTTTTTTGTCGAATCAAGGGAAAAAAATTCATTTCTTTCTGAAGAGAAACAGACAATTTTTTTTTTGTATTTGTTTGTTTGTTTGTTTGTTTGTTTGTTTGTTTTTTGCTTTTATACAGGCATATATATTTTTATCGCAATTTTTCTTCTCCTTTCAAAGGGTAGAATATTCTATTCTATTTTTTGTTTATTAAGGTCGAGATCGCGTAATCTTTTTTGCTTTTTTCTTTTCTCTTCATTCTTTTCTTTTCTTTTTCTGTTTCTTTTTTTTTTTTTTTTTTTTTTTTATAACTAGATAGAAAATTCCCATATGTCGTGCTTTTCTTTTTTTATAATAATAATGAATATCATTGTTCTTTTTTTAGAAATAGAAAATTTTTACTTTTATTTTTATCATTGTTTATTTTTATTTATTTTT